GTCCACCCTGTTAGAACTGTACGCCATGAATCTTCATCCATTGATTTGATGAACATCTTCATCTTGGTTTTCCAATACGTATAGTTCGTTCCATCTAGCAACGGGGGTCGTGTAGTTGAACTGCCTTCCTTGTGAATACTCATCCTACAAAAAGTAAAGCAAATAAATCAAATTCCCAAAATCAGACACTAAGTATATCTAGTGACCGGCTCTTGATGCCAATTGTTGATTTTAAATGCCTATGAAAATCTGTTAACCGAAGTTGTAACAGTTGTTGTGGGAACAGTATGCAGTTACAACTACAATTCTTGTGTTAACACAGTTATAAACTACTGAAAGCGAGTAAACAAACACAAGAATTTAATGTGGTTCAGACACAAATGTGCCCTACATCCACGTGGACCTGCAAACACGATTTCACTAGTTCAGATTTACAGTGTACATTAATAGGACTTATTAAAAACACTAAAGACTCCCTCTTTATGTAATATGCCGTTCTTGTACACAACTTGAACTCCGTGTCTCTTCCAGCAGCAGCTCCACACCGCGTGCCTCGAACTCCCTTCAGGCCTGAACTCCCTTCAGAAACGCGGCTGATCTCCCTTGAGATCTATACAGCAGATCTGTATATATTGGCACACACAACGATGGCACAGTGCAACGATGGCACAGTCCTGCTCCGCAGAACGCCTTAGCAAACCTTCGACGCTATGAAGTGGTTTTTCTTCCAAATAATGCGCACGGTTCTTGTATGTCTTGGAGGCTTATATAGCCACGAAAATAAGCCCTAAGACCTAACTTGAACCCCAAGAAATCTATTTAACTAGGTAATAGAATCCTAGTTGATCTCTACTTCTATTCTAGATAAGTACAAAAGATACCTAACTAGAATAAAATACATGGAAATAAATATAAGTCCTAATAGAAGTATTATAAAATAGGACTCTAATAAATTCCAAAATAAACATGGAAAACAAATCTTTGCCAATCTTTTAATTCCAAAACTCCGCGGATTTCCTCGATCTTCAATACTCGGAAATCTGGCGCCAACAATTATAAATAAACCCAATAATAAGAATGATGGGGGTCAGCTAGGAACCATTGCCCCGGGCTTCCCATACTCGAGACTATTGGGCCAGAAGCCCAACGAAACATAAGAACCGAAATGGGTTGTGCGTTCGCTTAGTAGATCGACAGTTCGCCCAGAGAAGGATTCGCTGACCTAGGCTTCACATCGTTGAGCTAAAGAGCTCGCTCAACATGCCGTACAATGGATGAGGAGGAGGTATACGATAGATGGCAAGCTGATCTCCAGACCGTTAGAAGGCTTGATCCGTGAATCTTTTCCGTAAATAAATAAGGAAATCAGAGAATCTCACGTGGAAATAATGTAATGAGAATCGAATCTCAAACAAACTAAGGATTCTAAAATAGGAAATGTCCATTTGAAAAGCTCCCTATATAAGCAAATGTAATGTTTAATTCCTCTTCTTCGGAGACAAGACTGGTGTTAGGTGAGCTTCCCGACACCTAAGGGAATAGGGTTTGAAAGGTGGTCTTGAAGTGTAGATCTTACATCATCAAGTGGCACCATCTGTGGGAAAATAAACGGAGGTAAGAAGTTGAGTTCCTAGATGTAAAAGAGCTCAAATCTCCTAATATTGTCAAGGGAAGTTTCTTAACCTTCTCTCTTTTTTCCTTTAAAATAGTACAAATCTATCATATTTTATATATCAATCTTTAAAAAAAAAAATAGGATAATAATAATAATAATAAATAAAGACGCATGTTTAAAAGAGTGATTTTGTTACTCCGTTGTTAGGAAAGAACAAATGATGGGAATCGAAGGAATTAATAAGAACTTGGAACCGCAACTAGGGACAAAAACACCTCTGAAAGACCAAAGGAGGTTGTCAACACGAATTTGGAAGAGGCTATGTCGAAAGAAGTGTTAGGATAGTAGACTAAATGACTCGTTTTGTCCATGCAAGCGATCTAAGTTTTAATAAAGTTTATTTATTTAGTCATTTATGAGAATCTGTATATGTGTGTTTCAAGTGTTTTTAATTAGATGTTGATTATTGTCAATAATTAAATGCACAGGTCCAATATTCTAAATAGTATTCGAAATGATGTCCTACAACACACAGAAGATCATTTCGAAAGTTCATTTGGAATATGAAGTTCAACGTTCACAATCTGGATTGATTGGACTAGCCAATGGTAAAATGTTGTACCATGATTTTTAAGTGATTGATCTTGATAACGGTAGACGGAGAATAACTTTCGTAGTCATTGTTCTGACTTATCGTGCTAGCACATCCGACATGTATTGAACAAGACAAAGTGAAATAAATTGTTTCATCACTGATTAAATATTAAACTATATTTTTCTAGTTTACAACATATTAATTAATCTCTTAATTTGATTCACAATGGGAGAGATTCATATATTGAGTCAAATGAATCTATTGTGTTGAGTATAGACGCTAAGAATTAATAGGTAGAAATTAATTATCGAAAGGAATCCGCATCTTTGAAATATGAAATTGATTAATAACCCTTTAGGGCTCGTTTGGTTTGGGTGATGGGATTACATGGATTGATAATTAATCCAAGGATTGTACTGTTCATTTTTTTTTCTTGTGGATGAAATTTATATGAAAAATTCGAAAATACACCTAACTTTAAAAAAAAGGGATATTAAACATTTAAAAAATTAAACCCAAACATTTCAAAATTGACTCTCTCTCTCTCTCTCCCAATTTCGTCTAGGGTTCGGACTCTTCAACTTCTACAACAGAGCTGCACGAATTTGAAGTTCCGAAGGTAAAGTAAAATTACTTTAGAATCACCCATTCAATTATACTTTTGATTCATATACTTCGCACATTGCTCATGAGTTTTTTATATATTAGTTTTCCAGTATGAGTTCGAATTCGAACTATATGCGAAATAGGGCAAATTGTCGTTCCAATGACAGTGGTGAGTCTAATTCATATTGTTCTGGGTTACGTTTTCATTGTCATCGCGGTTTGGAAACGAAAATTAAAACCTCGAGAACGGAAAGAAATCCAGGAAGACGATTTTATTGTTGTTCATTGAAAGAGGTAAGTAATTTATATTTTAAATTATCTAATTATTTCGTTAACTATTTTACTGATTTTGAGTTGTTCTTTCGGAAAAAAATCCACGAAGAAGATATTATTGCTAATGAAATTATCTAATTATTTTTTATTTAAAAAAATATTTGTAGGAACATCGTTGTAATTTCTTTAGATGGTGTGACGAGTCAACTCGCGAACCGTCGGTTGAGGTTATATCTGGGCTATTGACCAAGCTTAATCTTTACGAACAAGAGAATTCTAACTTAAAAGCCCAAGTATTATTGTATAAACGTAAATTCCAAACGATGAAGGTACTTTGTTGGTCTGCTATAATTGGTATGTTGTTCATTATGTGTTACATGGTGTATGTCTGAATCAGAAGATTTTTTTTCAAATGTTGTTGTGTAGCCTTTAACTATTAATTTAGGTTCTGAAATTAATTGTATGATATTTGATTTTCAGTAGTATTGTTCTTTGCAAGATCTCCATAATTATTCATTGTGGTAAATAACTTTATTCTGACTTGTCATGTCAAAGGGCGAATTTTTAAATGCACTCATAAGTAATTAATGTTTTTATAAACACATTAATAGGTAATTAATGTAATGTAGTTGGCAAGTAGACGTTTTGCAGAACTTATGCGTATGAACTTTTGTTGTGTATTAATTTTCTTGCTTTTCCAAGAAGAATACTAATCATTTCACTTATGCAAGCATTAAAGTGAAAAATAACCTACCACCCCTCCCATCTGTTCTATAAATTGACCCCCGTTTATTCTTCAAAGAACACCAGTTACATTTAAATTTTCTCTATTCAAATAAAAACCTAAAAAATGGCCCCTGTCCCAAGAATCAAACAAGATGCCTTCTTCTATAATGGAGAATGGACTTGGCGTGTTGATCGGCGTTTCATTGAAGTTGTGGTGGATGATGCAAAGAAAGGTAACTTTTGGTGGGGTTCAAACAACAGTACTACGATTCTTCGCGGACTTGGAACCGTCAACAAAGAGTTTGGAACTTCATTTACCTACGAGCAGTGTCAAAACAAGCTGAAGTTAATGGAAATGAGGTATTACACGTTCAAAGCCATTATTTCATCTACGGGTGTTCAGTATGATGAAGAAACTAATTTCGTGCATGCACACGAGACCACATGGGATGCCATCTTCTATGTAAGTCCACTATTTTATTTATTATTTTTATAACTTGTTTTGTAATTGTTAAGTTAACTTGCTGTTTTTTTTTTGTCATAGCGTTTCAAACTAGGCCGTGCCTACAACCCGTGGGGTGATCCAGAATGGAAAAAATTATCATTCATCTTCAGCGACAAACACACTTTCGGTTGGAAGAATAACGAGGTCATTGACATTGACTCCGCATCCCAGGACATATTTGAAGAAAAGCCATCTGTTAAGCCCGATAATGCGCCACCACTAGTGCCTCCCGATTACATCAACATCTCAAGCGACCGTGATGATTCTATTGACAGTGAGATGTGGACCTATCTGCTTGAAGGGTACCAGCCTGCCGTGATGCAGATAGACAAGGAGCTAGAGGACAATGACGGTGAACAGTATGAGGAGCCACTGGAAGTTAGTGAGACCGAGTCACTGGAACAGTATGATAAACAACAAATTTTAAATTTCCTGGTCAGCAATCATGCGAGCATATATGCTTCTTTCTGCATCACGTAAACTAAAGAACAAGTCTAGCTCTTCCGTGTTCTTCACAAGCAATTTCGCAACACGTATTTTTTCCTCAACCCCAAGAAAATTCATGTTTTTCACTGAATCGTAAACTTCTTTGCGAGCTTTTGCCGTACGGTCCTGCTCGAAACCTATCCTCTTCGCAATTTCCCCCAAACGCCCTTCGGTTTGTTCGGAGAAATTAGACATTACTGCGAAGAATTTTTCATCAAAGTTGTCATCTTCAAATTTGCGCTTGTTCGAGGACTTCGTTTTAGTGCCAGTGGAACTTTGACCCAAGTTGTTGGATGAAACTCGGTAGCTTCTTCTTGTAAATTGAATGGCATCTCTGGCACATAATCACCACCACCCTCGTTATCTATGCCCACTTTATCTCCCATGGTTTGTACCATATCAACAAAATCTTCCGCGTTTTCTCCAGTTGCTCTGTCCTTACCAAAGATCTCCAGCCAATCCTTATAAAAAGGAAACGACTTATGACGCATGGTACGAGCATTTGTGTATGTCTGTAATAATTAAGAATACATATTAATCCAATATTATTGATCCCAACTCACTAAATTATATGCAACAACATGACAAAACAGTTCGAATTTACCTTCACATAGGTATCCCAAACATCATCACTCTCAACGTCGATGGTATTAGTAGCATCCCACCATCCAAAACCACTACGGGTCATCATAGTTGACAAAGAGCCATAGGTCTTCTTCCAAACGTGTATCTTGGAGTTAATATGAGGATCCGCTCTAATATCAGTGCCCGAAAATGCGCTCAACATATGATGTTGTAGGATCCCAAGAAACCCCGACTTAAATCCATTGTCGCACTTCCAACCCGTGAGAACGAGGTCCTTCAAACCGTTAATCAAAGCTTGTTCCTCGGCAACGGACCATGATCTTCTAGTTTTGTCGGTCTTCCGAACACCCAAAGTTTTTTTGTTCCCACTTGAATTCATCTTAACCTATACTAGAACCCCAAATATTATATTATATTAAATAAATCCAATGAGGTAAAAAACAGGTCACTAAATTATAATAATCATGGCCCAAATAGGTCACTAAATTATAATAAACAGGTCACTAAACAGGTCACTAAATTATAACAGGTCACAAATAACATTAACCTATAAATTAAGTTCAATAATAATTGAATACTGTTAGAGTAGGTGACCGGCAAGCCAACTTGTGGCTGTGGTCTTTCTCTTTTCTTTGTAATAAAACAATCGTTTTTCGTTCGTAATAATAAAATATCTTATTTGGCATTCTATATCTGTTATCCCATGCAAGCAGCATAGATATAGTCCTAACGAGTTACTCTATTACTGTGAGTTGATCTAGTAGAATCGTGAGATAACTCAGCAATGTAATGTAACTGTTAAACCTTGTTCCTAGTCGATGGGTTACGCCAATAATGAGGATACCGGCCTTTCCCTTTTGAGACTAGCACTTAGTGTATGTGTACTGCGTCTCATCAGTCATCGGTGTTGTGACATCGGCATACTTGAGTGGGTGCTCATATTAGATGAGTTCACTGAACTCCCTCGCCCTAGAAATCTATAAGTGGTTCTCATTCATCGAGTAATAGGTTTCTAAGATATAGTTGTACACCATTAGTCCTTAAGACCCAGACATCACCGTGACTTCACTAGAGGACCGATTGTATCGTGACCTGTCCCTGAGTCCCACCGCGGACCGCTCCAAGGGCCAACGTTCGTGCAATCCGAAATCTAGTGTGAAGTCTGTGTATTGTAGTAGGGGATTCGAGCGCTTGAGTAGTCATGGATGTCCTGTGTGTTCTGACGGTTTATAATCCATGGAATCTCTGGCCAGAGTTGATAGTGGGGTGATTAGGGAAATGTGTTTCCCTAAGTCGCACACGAACGGATTTATAATACCTAGAACGTTCGCACGGTTATTGAACTTTATAAGAGGTCTCGGTGAACCAATGCCTCTAGTTCAATCGGGACATGTGCTACGAAAGGATCGTACTGTACGCTAACTATATCATAAGGTTCTTGCAGGCACTTCATTTGTATCTAGGGAATCATGATGCGTAGTTGCTAGACGCCAATCTTGATTCGTTGGGCACCGATTTGATCGGGATTAGGTAAAATGAGTTTTACTCTAATCGGGACTCTTGGGAGGAGTTCGTATAAGAACAATGTGTTGTTCGAATCACAAAGAGTTGTGAGCCCACGGCTAGCATACACCTGAACCATTGAGGGTCACACTTCTCGTGTAATATAGATCCTTGATAACAACAAGCATAGATTAATGTGTTAATCTTTGAACGATTGGATGTCGATATGATTGAATCCAAGATTCGCAATTGTGAATTGCGAATTGGAATAAACGTAGAGAAAGAGAGACATGCGGAATTTAGTGAACTTTCTAAATTGGGAAGCTTCCCGATTTAGCAAGTCCACTGAAGTGGAAGTTTCCAATTTTGGAAATTGGAAATTTCGAAGAGGCACTCGTATCGACGAGGACTTTGAGCTCGTCACAAATATAATTTTGTTATAATTTTGTGGACGATCGTTTGTTAGAAACGAGGCCGACAAGGGGATGGGCTTAATGCATCAGTGGGTCAAGCCCAATGACTTAAGCCCGCTAGGGTTGAAAACCCTAGGTATAAATAGACCTCAAAAGGAGTTTTGAGATCAGATTTTTTAGCACAAAACCCTAGCCGCTCAAGCCCCATCGGCCGTTGCATCTCCGCCGCGCCACCGCCGACCACCGCCGGAAACACTGCCGGTTTTCTCCTCTTTCTCCTTCGTTTTATTCGTGTTGTTATCTAACTCGTTTATATCTAGTGCTATAGTTCGAGTGGGTCGAAAATACGAGGTGAAACCTAATTGGAGAGGAGCTGCTGCCCCGACGAATCCGTGCACCACCGCACGCGCCGCACCGCCGCTCACGCGCCGCCGCTGCCGCTGCCACGCGCCGCCGCTGCTGCTGCCGTTCGTCGCCGCTCGTTGCTTGCTGGATCAGCTCGGTCCAGCCGTGAGGTGCAGCCCCGTGGATTGGTAATTAGCAGCTTGTACGTGACTCGTTCTAGGATTTCGATTCGTCGAAATCTCACGTTACTAGAGGTAATCAAATCGGAACTTTCGTAATTCGATTCGAACATGTTTGTATGATTATTAATTTGCAAGCATGAGTAATACGTGATTACATGTTTCGATCTTATTGAATGATGAATAAGCATGTTTCGTGATTTTCGGTTTTATGTATTTTTAATTAAATCGAAAATTACCATATGTATGGCGGAAGCGTTAAGGTACGTTGACTATGTGATTAGTATTGCATGTAATCGAAACTAGTTCGATATAAAATTTTTAAATTCCGCTGCGTATACATGCACGATCCCCAACAGTGGTATCAGAGCCACGGGTTAATCGTTTATTTGTCAACGTGTTTATCGTTTTCGAAAGCATGCTTCGATTTGTTGAATTGTTGAATTTTTGGTGTTATCAAATTGGGTGGTTTAATATTAATTAATATTTTGAATATTTCAGAAAATATAAAATTTTTAAAATTCGTTTTTCTGCTGTTTTTCCAGCTGACCGAACCGGTCCGGTCCGACCGGTCCGGTCAGCGCAAACAAAAAAAAAAAAAAAAAAAAAAAAAAAAAAAAATTATTTGATTTTCTGAGAATTAATATTAAAATTAATTGATTTTTAATTTTTGAAATTATTTATCAATTAAACCCAATCAGATAATTGATCCATTAATTTAATTTGAATTCAAAGGATAGTGTTGGATTAATTATTTAATTTAATCGTTAAATTAGTTTAATTAATGGAACACAAATTAGATGGCAAATAATTAATGGACTTCATTCTTATTTGAATGATTTATGAATGAAAGAAGTCCGTTAATTATATTTGCAATTAATCGTATTTATTAATTAATTCATGAGATGAATAATTGTGATTAAGTACGATGATGATCGTATGTCTCTCTTAGGATCAATATGCGTTTCCACATACCTAGAGAACATAGTTGTAGGAATCACAAACGATCATAACCTAAAACTTCCGATGAGCTAATAAGATTTAAAAATAAAATCCCTCATTCTTAATCAAGAATAATTATCAAGCTATAAAGGAAAACCAAATTGTTGAATTTTTCTTTCCTTCTACCAACAATTAAATTATGTGTAGCCTCTCATAATAGTGCAGTAAGCCGTGTTAGCGGGGAGTGCTATTGTGGGATAAGCTGTAATTTAATTGACATTAGATGGAGATACGGTCATAGATAAAATTATGTTGGATTAATGTGGTCGGCTAGATTAACTAGGGATTGCATTAGTTTGATATAGTTGGATCTATGACATCTCATATTGGTAGGCTAGACTTGACACACGAAGATTTTGATATTCGCTAGATTAACTTAGGTCATTATCAAGTGTGAGGTAAATCGATCTTTAGGGTCACATAGTGATGTGATTGATAGTACTCTACCTTTAGGCTTATGTAATCGGGATAGATTAACTACGGGTTACATTAGCGCTATTGGACCTAAAGCCCATTAAAGAAAAACAAGTTTTCTCGATTGTCTGCTAGAGGGTGGTGGAATTCGATAAAATTAGTGGGAGAACAATTAAAACATACAAGTCCAAAATTTTAATTGTAACGATTATTACGAACTAAACTCTAATTATTGTCTTCTTAAAATTTTCTCAGCAACAATGTCCAAACATCCCCTTTCCTCAATCCTCGACCAAAACAAACTCACCGGTCCAAACTATTTGGATTGGCTTCGCAATCTGAAACTTGTGCTCCAAGTCGAGGAGCGTCTCTATGTGCTCAATGAACGTCCCCCCGCTGCTCTTCCTGCGACTGCTACTGCTGACGAGACTGCCACTTTCGAGGCATGGAAGAAGGACGACCTCCATGCGAGGTGCTACATGCTAGCATCCATGGTGCCAGAGCTCGCGAGGAAGTATGAGTCTGACGTGCATGCTTATGATATCAAGCATCATCTTGAAAGCATGTACAGTGAGAATACTAGGGCATCGAGGTACTCAGCTACCAAGGAGTTGATCACCATGAGGCTGCGTGAAGGGGCTTCGGTCCACGAGCACGGTCTCAAGATGATCACTCTCCTTGAGAAGCTGGTAAGCCTTGATGTCACCCTCCCGGCCGAGCTCTCGGTGGATTTGATCCTACTGTCCCTTCCTAGTTCTTATGAATCGTTCATAGTGAACTTCAACATGAACAAGCTCGATCCACCATTGGATGAGTTGTTGAACATGTTGGTCAGCTATGAGTCCACAATCAAGAAGGAGAAATCTGTTCTCCTAGTTGCTCCTTCTGTGAAGAAAGGTTCTTTGTAGAAGAAAAGGAAAGAAAGAAGTTTCGGCCCGAGCAAGAAATTTGAGAAGGGCGAGTCGAGCGGAGTGAAGAATGACAAGGTCACCAAGCAAGTTGATGACGCTTGCCATCATTGTGGAAAGAAGGGCCATTGGCGACGCAACTGCAAGGCTTACCTCGATCAGAAACGTTCTGAAAAGGGTACGTATTTAGTTGAAGTTAACTTGTCCGTTAAATCTTCTGCTTGGGTATTGGATACTGGTTGTGGCTCACATCTTTGTAATGATTTGCAGCTCATGACAAGAAGTAGGAAGCTTAATGTGGGTGAGACCTACCTAAGAATGGGCAACGGAGCAAGGGTTGCTGCTGAAGCCATTGGGACAATTTATCTTTCTGTTTTGGATTCTAGTTTTTCCATTGTTTTGAACAATTGTTTATTTGTTCCGTCACTTATTCGAAACCTTATTTCAATTCCTGTTTTGGATAATGAAGGTTTTACTTTTGTTTTTGGAAATTCGATTTGCATTATACAAAAGGAACAAAATATGATTTGTAAGGGACAACTTATAAACAACTTATATGAACTGAATCCAAGTGAAATACCTATTAACATTATATCAGCAAAACGAAAAGATATA